AGACCCTGTCGGGATCCAGAAGTAATGTAGTGGGGAAGATTTAAGGAACATAAAGTTATCACATCACAAGTAAAAGCTGCCCGTGTGTTAAACGTCTACTAGGACAGGCTTGTTGACAGTAACGCTGACATTTTAAAGATTTATTGGAAAGTGTTCTGCACGAACAGGGGAGACCCTAAAAGGCTGACAGTGGAAGATAAAAGCAGGATGGAAAAAGCACTTCCAACATGTTTATCTTTGCTTGGCAAGAGAACGGAGACAGGAAGCAGCCGGACTTATGGAGGCTGTGGTTGTAATGTTGACAGCTCAGTTATTTCTGCTGCTATTTTAGAGCAAGTTTCAGTCTCAGAGAGGGAGTAAAGTAAGAGTGCTGAAATGTGTCAGGCAGCAGATTTGGTGGTTTTCTAAGACTGGATGGGTAATCATTATATAACACTGAGTAAGACATTTATTCATGTATCTAGACGAGCACTTTTCTAAATAATTGTCATGATGTCTAAAATTAAAATATGTGAATGCAATGATTATGAATTTGTGAGCGATACAAAAGTAAATTTTTGGACAATACTCCCATATATGAGCTTAAAAACAGCACTGTGTGGGCTCAGCGTTGGCCCGTAAGTTTCCCATAGAGCCATTTATGTTAAACTTACTACATGTTTGGAACAATTAGACTCCCTGCTTGTTTGTTCGTCTCACTGCTCAAAGCTTTATTACTGTTTTGCTGACAAATTCAGATTCTGAATTTTGAAATGTGCAAAAAATAAGTGAACAGAAGAAATAAACTGGGAGGAAATCATAAATGAATGATGGGGTGGCTCAAGACTTTTGCACAGTAGTGTACATTAAAGTCATTTCTGATATTACAACCACACCAGATCATTTCTCCAAGATAAGATGAAGTGTTTCTTATCTTATGGTGTGTAATTAAGTGCAGTGTGTAAGTTTGTTGTTCTTGCAGGATGTGGTTTGTTCATCGCGTGGGCCGCGCTGTTCAGGTGCAACATGGATGTAATGGTGTGGAACGTGGTCTTCCTGGTGATCAACTTCGTGCACCTTTTCTACCTGTTGTATAAACGCAGGCCGGTGAGTTCAGCATCAACGTCACTCACATTATACAAGATCATCGCAGGCATGTGAGCTCATCAGAGGAGCAGTGTGTTTATCTGGCTAATAAATATGGGTTCAGTTGTGTTTCATGGTAACACAATCTGATTATGTCTGCAGCAGCACACACGAGACAGGAGGAGCAACAAAGTGCAGCTGTAGTTGTTCTTTAAAGCCTTTCATTCATTAAAGTTCAAAAAACATTTTTATAACTTTTATAAAAACATTTTCTCTCGAGTTCGTTTGATTGTCTTAATAAGTGACTGGACATAAAGGACTATTTTTATTTCTTTCATCCTTTAATTAACCAGGAAAGTACGATTAGGAATAAAACTATTTTCATAGTGTCTGAAGTGTGTTTCTGAAATATATCTGGAGGACAAATTCCAGCTGTTCTGCAAACTTGCCAGAGGTGTTTTTGTCTTCGGTGCAAAAGAGACACGACTCGAGTCAAACTGTGGAGGGAACAGAATCATCCTGCTTATTCATGCGCTGCTTCCCTTTTCTTAAATGATCAAACTCTCTGTGTGTGTGAGGTTATTTTGAAACACTTTTACTCTTTATTCTCTTTATTTGTAGTACAAAAGTTTTAAAATGTATCCACACAAAGTAGCGAAACAAACATAGTAAATATGCAGAATGCTCCATTTAAGAACAATATGCATCATGTTGTTGGTTCATTAACTTGTGAATTCTTATATATCTTATATAATTCATATATACTTATTATTTTCTATACCATAATGTAAAAATGGCTCCTGTCATTAACCCAGCTGTGCTTCAGTACTCTGGGCTGACTGTGGATGTGCTCGCGTCAGACTAACCGTTCAAACTGTTGCTGTCAGATTAAGATTGACAGGGAGCTGCGGTCCGTCTACAAGAGGATGTTTGAGCCTCTGCATGTGCAGGAGGCGTTGTTCCAGCGACTCACGGGACAGTTCTGCACCATTCAGACGCTGAAGAAAGGCCAGGCCTACGCTGCTGAGGACAAGACGTCTGTAGACGAGCGCCTCAGCATTCTGCTCAAAGGAAAGTATGTGCTGCTTGTTTCCCTAATGAACGTCACACAGGTCTGACTAATACACACGATTGAGGTTATTATTGTAACACCGTGCTTTTCTCATTTAGTTGGTCAGAATTTTGAATTTCATTTTTTGTGTGATAGGATGAAAGTTTCATACCGAGGCCATTTTCTGCACAACATCTATACCAACTCATTCATCGACTCTCCAGAGTTCAGGTCCACTGAGATGCACCGAGGAGAGAAGTTTCAGGTAAATTCACCTGCATGGAAGCTTAGATCTGACATAAAGGATGGATGAAAGATACAGGCAGTGCTGCATGTTTCAGTGGGTGCAGGGCCGATTTCCTTCTGTGGCTGTAAAAACATGTCTGACTGTGCAGAACGTGAATATTCAATAAAGATTTAAGGAGGTCAAATTTCTTTAAACAGAGCTCTGGAACATCATAAAGTTTCACATGCATGGTAATTCAATGTAGTATATTTTTGAAGTACTAATAATAGTGATAAAACCAGTAATAAGTGTATTGATGTCTGTATCTAGGCAACAACTTGATGTCAGGCAGAATAATACTAATATATATATATATATAATATATATA